GCTTACAATGTTAGCCAGGTGTGGTGCACACTTAAAAATACGGCTGTGGAGACATGAAGCAAGTTCCCTGTCTTGCAAATGAAGACTTTGAGTACAGCTAAGTGAAGGAGAATTTGTACAGCATGCTCTGTCATCCTCAGAATATCCTATTCTCTCTCTCTCTCTCTCTCTCTCTCTCTCTCTCTCTCTCTCTCTCTCTCTCTCTCCCACACACACACACACACACACACACACACCATACTTAATACTTAATCATGTAGCTAGTGTAATTAAGAATTAAGAGCTCTCCTCCAAAATGTGTTGTTTTAATGAAACTGACCAGAGCCCCCCAAAATTCCACCAAGCTTCATTTTAATTATAATCTGTGTTTCTAGTAATTAAATGTTAAGCTTCCAAAGAAGGTAAAAAATAAGTTCCTAAGCTCCAGCACATGAGGGAAAGGAATCTCTCTCTTAATTACTTTTTATTGGTGCCAAGAGCCTAAGCATCCCAAGAAAGTCTAGGAAACTTTAGAACATGATTGACAAAAGGCAGCAGGTAGCAAATACTTTGGAACCAGAAACTGGCTCAGCACTTCAGCCAGTTTATACTGATGAAATTGTTTGTCCCTGTAACTAACTAACTTCTCATTTCCTACAGTTACAAGACATCATAGACAAAACCTTAGAGGGTCCATAAATGTGGTTACTGAGACAGGAGCTACTGTGACCATACATCTAATTCCTCAAAGGAAAAACCAAGCTTGCATCAGCAGAGTTCCCCAGAGTAACACTTTTCTCTCAGAGAAGGGAGCCAGCAATGCTGAGCAAGCTTGATTGGTTGACAAGTGAACCAGCTCAGTCATTTTTCCTTTAGCTCCCTTGCATCAGGTGATGGATGCAGCACCATTTCAGCAGCATCTTTGCCTTATAACCAACCAAAGCCAACTTGCCCTGAAGTAGCTTTTCATGGTTCTGTATTCCTACACATGCTTTAGTCTGCTCCTCCCCACACCATCTAAGCAATGCTCTACTTTACCATGTCTGTCAAATGTGAGATTCCTGGTCTAGAAAGGAATTTGGACAAGAAAAGCAGGTCTCAGTAGATTAACGAAGAACAGCAAACAATACTCTGGTGTACACGGAGCATTTGTAAATAAGTAGGAAGGGGAGAGTTGCAGGTGTTTCTGAACTAGGTACAAAAGTCTGCTCCAGGCCTAAGTGGACAACCTCTGAGCAGGGGAAGGGCTAAGGCAACAAGGACAGAGAGCTTCTTGCCCTCTTCTGCTGTCCATCATTCAAGTGCTGGGTGGGTGGGTTCTACTCTCAGTGCAGATGCGCACTGTTGGAGCCAGTTTCATTAGCCTCCTGACTCCAGGTTTACCCAAAGAACATGGATCCCATCCAGAGACCTAACTGCAGAAGGTGAGTGAATTCTAGGGCTAATGACTAGCAATATTTACTTCAAGAACTTAGTTTGAGTCATTGAACAAATACTTCTGGGCAGGGATGTGGCTCAGTGGTGCTTGGTGACTGAGGTTCCATCCCCAGTGCTATAAAAATAAACAAATAAGTAAAAAAGCCAGTAGTTCTAACCACAAGTAAGGCTCTGTTCTGACCATATTAAAATATGGACAGGAAAATAGGACAAGATGGGGCAATGCCAGCTACAGAAGAGACAATGGAGATGTGGTTAGGTAGACAATCTGTTAGTCAGAAGGAGAGGGCAAGACAGGCCCAAAGGGAGAGCTTTCTCACTGGGCCTGAGGTCTCAGAGGTGGGAAAAGTTTGGTCCAAGTTCTCACCACTGGTGAAATGGTTCAAGGATAAACTTTAAAGAGCAATAATTCAGTGTAAAGACCCTCATCTTTCCTCCTTCAGTTTGGTTCAATCACTTACATGTCATACAAACTCTACTTTGGATCAGATCTGTCAGACTCACATTGAAAAGAGGGACTTGGGAAATATCCAAGCCAGTGGTTCTCAACCTTCCTAATGCTGCAACCCTTTAATACAGTTCCTCATGTTGTGGTGACCCCAACCATAAAATTATTTTCCCCGATACTTCATGACTAAAAATCTGCTACTGTTATGAATCATAGTGTAAATGTCTGCTATGTGAACCCCACGAAAGGTCCATTCAACTCCCAATGGGGTTGTGATCCACAGGTTGAGAACCACTGCTGTAAGTCATTTCTCACATGCTGGTCTTAGGGCATGCTCATCTTTACTATTCCAATACCTCCCCTCCAGAGCCTCTCTCCTGTAAGCTCCTCTGGTTGTCCTTCTGTCCCTTATATAGGTCTAAGGCTGTGACGGTGGAGTACTTTTTAATTTTCTTGTTAATTAAATTTGCTCTGTGACTCTGTGTGTGTGATATAGTCTTGCTATATCTCTGTCCCTTACTCTCATCTTCCTCCTGTTAAGCCCATTCATCCCCACAAACCTTTTTCTACATTCAGGTCATTTTGTTTCACCAGGTGTGATGATAGGTTTGGAGCTATCCAGTGGAGCCTGATGGATATATCAGTAGACACACAACTAAAAACAAAGTCTCAGAATTTTCAGTAGCGACAGTTAATCAGGGAGCTACAGAACATCTCTGGACACAGTCCAGCAGTTTTGAGGTCATTGCTCTGCCTAAGGTCAGCTCCCTGGCCTCAATATGAGGAGCTCTGGCACAGCCCGGAGTTTCTCTAAATGGATCACCTTGCACTGGTTTCTATGCAAGGGGAACCTCAATAACTAGTGCTGACTGACTGACTGGCTGAAAACTGACCTGTCAATTAAGTCAGAAGCTGGGACAGTAACAGCATAAATAGAAGGGGAACACAGCATGACTAATGCAAACCACAGTAAAAGAAGTGTAAAATAATGGACAAGACAGACTTAGTTCACTACCTTAATTTAAAGTTGCATCACATACTGAGAACATATGCACTGTCCTGTGCACGAGTCACCATCCTGACAGCATGCGTGAGCTGCTCAGCAGCTGAAAGGAGTTCAAATTCCATGGCGGACACAGCTAGCTGATAAAAAGGGGATCTGAAGGATGAAGGTGCAGCACCAGGCCACACCACATCCCTAAGCAC